GAGATTATTTTGAGAGCATAAAAGACTAGAAAAGACTAATTGTTTGTATTCTCTATAGAAAAAGAAAGCAATAGCCTACATAAATTATTTATTTGTCTTACTATTCCTGGAAAACATAGTTTGATATGTGGCAACCAGAAAAGATAATAGTTTGTTTGATCAGTTTTATTTGTACAAATTGTCTTACTATTCCTGGAAAACATAGTTTGATATGTGGCAACCAGAAAAGATAATAGTTTGTTTGATCAGTTTTATTTGTCCAAACTAAAAAAATATATATGTTTATTGATTTACATTTGGCTCATATAACTTTCAAAAAGGCAGAATAGTAATAATATATTTATATGTCAGCATACATTTGTGTCAGTGCAGGTTCATATAATATTTTCATGTTTATGCCCTTCTTAGCTCCTAGTCATGAAAAAAGGAAAAAGTAGATTTTCCGTTTACCCCGCAGAAGTGTTTCATACAGATATTAGCAGTAGCATTAACAGTAAAATGGGATGTCATTTCAGTCGCTCCATCCAATATTAATCAAAACGGCCCACTAAAGCATCTTGTTTATATAGCCATAGAACGACTTGACATTGAGAAATTTTGTGCCAACTGTGTCTGTCTTTCCCCGATTGCAAATGAAAACTTTATGGAAAAACAAAGAAATTTCTTTCCTTAGCCGTGTCATCTTTTTGCAGGATGTACCATGCAGGGGAAGTCAACGTAAAGGTTAACATAAACTTACAAAGGACAGAAATGCACATTCAAGAGAAATCTATGTACATCATGTTTACGTCCAATCAAGAGAGAGAGAATTGTATGTTATTGCTCAGGGAGTTTGATTAAAGGAAGCTCATTGCTTCAGATCTGGATAGAAAGCCTGCTGAATGCCTTAACATTCTGCTCATGCTGTGTGTAATCATTTGTTAGTATGTGGAGTCTAGCAGCGCTCAGATTGAATCAGAGCGGCGCCTCCTTATCTAGATTGAAGGAAATAATTTGCTACAATTTTCCATTAAGTCGCATTCAAAAAGGCATGAGTTACCTTAAGGGCACATTTAAGGCAAATTGTGCCGCCGCAGAAGTTCACTGTCCCTTAAGATTGCTGGCTGTTTCATTTCCAACCACTGTCTCGGGCCATTTGATGTATTTGCGAATGCAAACAACATGAAAGTGTAATGGTGTTCACCGTGTCTGGGCATGACACAACATCGCCGTCTTTGCACCGGGTGACCTCTTTGTGTCAGACGCACAGAGTGGAGGGTGTACTGTGTTTCCTCTCCAACACTTTGTCTAATGCACCTGTCACAGAGGCCTATTTTAACCCTGTCATGAATGTGGCAAGACACCTGTCATAATGATTCCTGTTCTTTCCTCACTTCAGCCTCTGTCTGTTTAGAATTAGTTGGTGTTTCATAGTTCTTGACATGACTGGTGCTACTGTGGCATAAATGACCACTTGTGTGTGAACTTTTGTTTTTAGTTTTTCCTAAGGGTTATTGTTATTAACCGAGATTGAATGATCATGCTTTAACTCAGAGTCAGTTTTTAAATTACTGCATGCACATTGTCCAAGGATAAATTGAGATGAAAAAATGTTTAATATTAAATGTGTATGATTTAAAACATGGCCTTGTTGCAATAATAAACTGCAGTGAATTAAACAACAAACATAGATGCAAATTAAAATCTAAGTATAATTGATGTGACATGAACACCAGCACGTGTTTTGTTACAGTAGTTTGTGCACACATGCACATTCCCAGTCTCACTCACTGTCTTCAGAGTCACTTGTCACAGTGCTAGTGTCACAGTGCTAGTGTCACGTTGCACACACACACACGAGGGACGAGGAGACGCTGGAGAATATGTTGACAAGACTTTATTTGCACCAAGGAACCAAGGGAGACGAACACAGGAAGACGTTCCACGAAGACGTACAACAGCGGACAGAGAACTTGGGACTGGGAACACATTTTATACACACACACAGGAGGAGGGGATGACGAGACACACCTGGGAGCAATAAAACCAAGGGAAACACCTGGGACAAATGAAATAAACTAATCAGGACAGGAACAGGAAACTAACCAAATAAGGGCATGGGAAGGCACATGGGGAGCAGGACACACACAAAACATGGAACAGAGTCTGACAGCTAGTCTGTGACAGGCCCATTTTAAGAGCTCACCAGGGATGTATATTCGCCATAATAATAACAGCAATAACAGTTTACCCTGCAGTAACTGTACTGAGACGTCTTCTCACAAATGCTTAGTTATTAGTTATTTATTTAGTTATTGAACAAAACTTAAAATAATGTTAAAATAAGTCAAATTAGTGATTCTAATACTTATTCACTTGAGTAGTTTTAGTACTGGAAAGGTCTTGTTTTTGAACACATCCTTGATGTGTGTGATGTTGAAATCTAACAGTGTGTTGCTGTGTAACATTTTTGTATCTTTGACGCCGACAGAACTGTTTAAATTAATATTCTCATAAATGTTGATATTTGACTAAATAAATTGCCTTATTGCTGTCTGTAGATAAACAGCATGGTGCATTTTGCTAAAGCATATGGCTTCCTGCTTGTAAAAAAAAAAAAAATAAATAATAATAATAAACAGAATTTTCTAAGTAATGCACCCCCATTCATTGAAGACTGAAAACGGAAGAAAATAAGGACACTTTCTGGTCATGGCAGCTATTCCCTTGCCAACTTGCGTTTTGTATCTCGTTAGTATTTTGATAGTCTATGGCATTAGTTGCATTTACACTTTGCATTCTAATGTTTCTCTGGTGTGGCTGTATAGAGATCCGATCACTCTCATCTGCACAAAATGGAAAACGCCACTTATATTGCTACTGAGGTTGTTAATCGAAAATTTTCCATCATTTACTGAATTTTAAAAACATTGAGGGATAATTCCAAATGCTTTGCGTCATTTTGACATATAAAAATAATATGTCTGGTCTACTGCGTTTCCCAAAACATTCCCACAGTAAAAGATGCTAATAAGGATTAGAAGCAAAGAAAAAGGAAGAACAAAAGTTTTAAAAGGCCCCATGGAAACAGCCCGAGAGAGACACGTGAGTGAGGACCTGGGGAGAAAAACGAGAGAGAATAAAAGAAGAACCTGCACATTTTGTCCCCAAGTACAGAGCACTTGGTAAGACTAAAGAAGCTCTTTTTACAGAAGCTCTTGTGATATAAATTTCACATTAAAAATGCCAAGAGTTACAATATATTATTTATGGATTTAGGAGAGCACGATGGAACATTTGCAGCCAAGTCTGTCAAAGTGATGCATAATGATTATTTGTAATGCAGAGTCTATATTACAAATCACTTATATAGTTGATAATGAAAACACATTAGTGTTCACACCTCATTGAATGTGCTCAGAATGTCCTTTCATCTGATCACAGTGCATCTTTTAATAAAAATAATTTTATGGGTGCTATCTGATTGTGATCTAATCATCTGATGTCCATAGTTAGTGTGATGCTATTTAATATATGTTAATATATGTTATATCTATTCTATGTTTATCTATGCTAATAAATTGTATAATAAACTAATATTTTTGAAGCCATTGTATATTATAACAAACAGTATATGATACATAAAATGCTATGTGGAAAACAAAATCTGGCTTGTCATTTTGTGACTGATGCATTTGAAATGTTAATAATAAGTTATAAAGTATATTTTGATCACTGCCAGAATCATTTTGACATTTAAATAATTGAACTTAAAAGAAGAGAAAAAACAGACAAAAGGAAAACCTCATAACAAATTATTCCACCGTGTTCCATACATTGTATACCTCGTGGTGCTTTCGCATGAGAATAAAGGCAAATATTGAATTTTTGTGGCTTGCCTGCAGTACATCCCTGTCACAGTCTAGTGTGTTAAAGCATATGTTTGGACACCCGTAGTCAGATGGAAACAGACCTGTCAGCACGGCGGCAGGATGGGACAGTGAGATAATCACACAGTGTCATTTTGGGGGGCAATTACCCAGCTTGGAGTGAAATGAGAAAACCTGTTTTTTTCCTGCTGTCCTAATGGAGGTTCCGGTCATTAGTTAAACGAGAGTCTCTCTCTCTGGCTGTAATCAAACGTGAAGCGTTCAGTTTAAGAGCCCATTATAAAACATCTGCTCCCCAGCAACAGCCTGCGGAGACTTAGGTTTGCTCACACGTAAAAGTCCGTGAGCACCATGTCACTATTGCTACTCAATTTCAAGTCTTTGTAAATTGTATAATTACACACTGCTTCGATTCATTCTTAGAGTCATGTTCACCTGTCCTGGCCATATCTGCCTGCTCTCTTTTGACTACTACTACTTTGTTAATAATACTATATATATATATATATATATATATATATATATATACATACACACACACAGTATATATGTTTATTTTTTATTTTTTTTATATGATGCAGAGCTATGATGTAGAGCATTTACCTTACAGTATGGATGTTTTTCCATTACCATTTCTTTTGAAATAAATTTTAATAAACAGTAAATACATTTTGAAATTGAAGTTAATTTTGCTAAACTTCTGTTAAATATAGTAAAAATAACATTTTTTAAAGAAAATATAATTTTCTCCCCTCATATTTTTTTCTGCTATTTCTCACAAATTAGCAGACTGGTAACATTGCCTGCAGTACTCAATAATACTACATTTAGTAGTATGCCTAATACTGATTTGTTTTTATTGTTATTTTAATTCACAAATTAAATCACATTGCAGTAAACCGTGCAGTAAACCGTCATAATGTCATGTTTAGCGTCTCTTCTGTCTCTCTTAAATGAAGCTGGACAGAGTGTAGTGAAAATTTGAAGGTGTTCATAGGACCAAATCATCCTGTAAAGAATCCCATTTAACCCAATCCAATCTGGAACAGGCACACAATCCGCCTGTGCTTTGTGTAAAGCAGAAGTCTGTAACAAGCTCCACTAATACCTCTGCCTCTCCTCTTCCAATAGACCAGCTTCCCAGCCAAGCAGGACCGCCTCCTCTGCCACCTGCTCCACATCAACACAAGCAGCATCCGTCAGTCACCTCCCTCAACCAGTCACTGGCCAATCAGCCGACAGAGCTTCAGAGCGCATCTGAATGTGTGCAGCTGCAAGAAAACTGGGTTCTGGGTGGCAACGTGGGCTTGGAGAACAGGTACGTGTTTTTACAGTCATATGCTGTGTCTGAACTTGCTCTCTCATTCACTAACTGTTTTCATATGTAGTCAATGACTATAGGAGTAAAAGAAAATAAGCGAGTAAATTATTTTTATTTTATTTTATTTTATACATTGATTAGACATAGATGAATATGTTATCTACAGGTGATGCCCAGATATTTAAATTTTGAGTTCCTCTCTGTACAGTCTTCTGAATTAATATTAAATTAATAAATGATTTAGTGAAGAAACATAAAATGTTTGTTTTCATAGTTTTTGGTAAACTGAACTATTTGCTACCAATCTTTATAATAATTTTTTTAATGAAGTTATGACTTATCAAAGAAGTTATAGAGATGTACCAAGGCAATATTATATAAATAAAAATCAACTTCAGACAAGCATTTATTGTGTAGCGTGTAGACTGTACATCAGTTAAATCAGATTGCATTATGGGTAAAGGAGTGAACTATATAGGGAAATTCATTATATAGGGGATTCAGACAAAACTACAAAATGACTGACACCTGATATAGTGCACTATATAGGGATTAGGGACACAGCTTATGTCACTTTTACAATCTTTTGAACATTGTGTATCATGAATCTCTATGTTGTGTATAAATATTAAAATATTGCAAATATTGTTAAAACCTACCAAGACAAGCCTTTATATAATGCACCTTGCTGTCACTTCAGATATCTTGAAGCGTACTACTCAAGCTGAGGGCTGCCTACCCAGCGTCCACCTGACAGAATTAATTTATGTATGCATGACATGAGTATCATATCAAGCATAAATAAATACACATCATGTTAGTCTCACCCTCTTCGGATATGTATATACACACATCATTTGGGTCCCAAAAGCATTTCTATACACACATTTGTTCTTATTATAATGATACAAAAAATGTTTTATTGTAATAGTGCACACAGTCTCTTAACCTGTTTATTGTTTAATTATAAGACAGCATTTTTGAATTAAGGATTAAAAGTGCAAAACAAGTCTTTATAAAAGGATATCTTCCTTTACAAAATTCAGCCTTTGTTCATAACTGACTCACAGAGTAAATAGTAATGTACTGCATCATAGATTTTCCACACCCATATGCAGATTTCTAAACGCTACAATCAGCATTTTCACTTCAAAAGGCTGAAGGGAAGGGTCCCGGTAGACTGGGTCCTGCAGAGGCCAAATATGAATGCAAAAGCATTGGAAATAGACTTAATTAACCAAAACAGAAGTTACCATGTGCAAGCCAACATTTCTATTATGTATACAAGCAATTTTATGTAAAAACATATAATTAAATGACCAAGTAGTGGATACAGAAAAGACGTTGTTTCCCATAAAATAATATTAGTAGTTAAATCGAAATCAGTCAATTCATGAAATTCGTTTGGCCTATATTTAGACTAAGTGGATGAAACATCAAAAAGAATATGCTTATTTTTAGCTTAAAGGGGTCATAACAAATCTTCCTTGATCTTTTGAAATAAAATACTTTTTGTATTTTGAAAACATACTGTCAGTTTCAGATCTGAAAACTTCTTTCACATGCCAAAAAGATCTAACTAAAACTAAGCTGCAAAAATGGCTCTTTTAAAAATAATTGGATTTTTGACATCAGAAACCCAAAAACATGAACATGTGATTGACCACATTTACATATCAGATGCCTGTTCAGTGTTACTCAGATATAGTGTATATATTTAGAGAGAGAGTGAGAGAGAGAAGCTGGAAACTGGCAATGAACTTTTTTTTAAAGCATGAAGGAGTTAAATTCTTCCTGGAAGATATATTGCGCATAATGTCATAATGGCACAGTTTATATAACCCTGCATTTGCTGCATGTACTCCGAGGAGCCTGAGCTGCCACCCACTCAAAAGGTTAAACAAGACGAATAACAGATTAGACTGTTCACAGTATCATTCCACAACAAAAAACATGTGTGCCATTAAATGTACAATCTCAAGACTGTAACTAAATGTGCTGAAAAGTACCTACTAGATGGCTATCATTTTTATCCAAAAATACTATACATTTTCAGTTTTCAGCCAAAAGAGAAAACAACGTGTTGTTTTATCTTTGACATGGACAAAAAACAGTATGCATGTGAAATAATCCAGGATGGATCTTATTTAAATGTAAATCATGATGGATTATATGTTGAAACATTTTTTTTAAATATTTATATAATATTCAAAAGTTATGCCACTTGAAGGAAGAACAAGTCTAATACTACAGCCTGGTCTCATGTTTATACGTAGGTATTAATACATAATATTTACAAGCACAAAACGTACATTTTTGTACGTTTTTATTGACGCTAAAACGTACAATTTAGACGTATTTCAACGTTTAAAACGTACAAATCGCTACGTATTTTCAGCTAAAAAACGTACAAATATTTACGTATCTTTTGTATCATTAAGATATTCGTATCAATGCATTTTTTTATCATTTTATCAATAAGCGATTTAGATTTTTAGACCCCTTAAACTACCCCCAAACCTAAACCTACCCATTTTATAGCGAATATGCATTTTTATCATTTTATCAATAGGCGATTTAGATTTTAGACCCATTAACCTATTTCCAAACCTAAACCTACCCATTTTACAGCGAATATGCATTTTTATCATTTTATTAATAAGCAATTTAGATTTTTAGACCCCTTAACCTACCCCCAAACCTTAACCTACCCATTTTATAGCGAATATAAAAGGATATAAAACGCAAATGACCGAAATATGCAGGAAAATAACCATTTTAGTAACAACGTTGCACCCGCAGCGGAATACAGTAGGTTTGTGTGATCCAGAGCAGAATTTATGTTGTTAATCGCTGAAAATATTATCCAGATTATTTTCCCGATCCACTCCGTGAACTCGTGAAGGAGCGCACGCATCATTCAAACACACCTCACCAGAAACACGGCATGTCACAATCTGTTACGAATGCAGGCGAGAGCCAATGAGCGTTCGATTATCCTGCCGTAAAACCTGTCGTTTGAAGCGGCAACATTTGAATTTGTAAAGAACGCGTCAGTCAGCGCGGGCTTTGCTGCTCACTGTCGCTGGACTCGCTGCTCGGGATGGAGATGAAGATCGACGAATAAAGGCTTGGATTTGGGTCTGTTCCTCGCAATCGTATGTATTCGGAAGATTTGGATTACAGCACACGGATAAAATTGTGTCATTTCGTAATTATGTTACATTTTTGGTGTATTTTATAGTTCAAAATGAAATGTTAACATTTTATATTAAGTAAACGAGTAAACAATTTAATAATGCAATTGACAATAAGGTAATTAATATGACAACTAAAAACAACTAATAATAAAATTAATGCCGCGATTTCAATATTCATAAGGATTCATTTTTAGGTGTCGTCAATATGTCAGTTTTGTACATTTAAATGCTGAAAATACATAAGTATTTGTACGTTTAGATGCTGAAAATACGTCAGTATTGTACGTTTTAGTGCCTGTAAAAACATAAGTGTACGTTTTATATAAGCACATTTTACATAAAATAAATATGAATGATCATGAGATCACGTTGAATACTAACAGCTAAGTTACCTGTGCAGCTGAAATATATTTCTAACAATCATAAAGCAATTTCAAACACTATTTTAAATTACCTTATACACCATGGTATCTAAAGCAATCTCACTGTTGCTTCCTGTCATAAAATGATTGCAATGTGTGTAGGCTAGAATCAATTAAATTATAACCTAGGTTGAACAAAGTAGCAACGAGGAATGGGATGTCATTATAAAAATAAGTGTGGAGTGGATCATCTTGAATGAATGAATCAAACTTAATTTCAGTCTGCAATCAGCCTGGCCTGAATTTAGTGTGGCTTTTCTTTCCCTGGTATTTCAACGTCCGTGCTTTTTTTCTTTAATGTTTTTCATTAACTTCCAAAAAAATAAAAAATTGGTGCCTTCACTTCTGGAAATCTCTACTAAACGTGAAGTAGCTTACTGGCTATTTTTCATCAGTACAGGAATATATGTAGGACAGGAAGGATAAGTGTTAATATTTCATTAAATAGGCCACTAAATTGTTTTTCTTTTCTTAATGAAATGGCATGTAATGTAGAATCCACCCTGCAGTCACACTGTACACATTCATTACTAACAGAAGTGTTGGCAATGCTGCGTGTCGGGTTTTTGATCTTTGGCAGGCTACAGCTGTTGTGCTCCATTGTGGAGAGGAAAAAATCAAAAAAAAAGAAAACAAAGGACTCTAGTGAGAGTGTACTTCTTATGGATATGAGAAAGTAAGATGTTTTGTAATCACATCAAGTGAAGAATCTTTGTTGTGTGTCTAGATCTAGGCAGAGAAAACAGGCTTCTCCTGTTATTAATGGTCCCAGTAGAATTCCTCTACTACCTCTCTCTCTCTCTCTCTCTCTCTCTTCAGCTTCCTCTCTTTCCTCCTCGCAGTACACCAATCCATCACCATCTCCTTTTCTCATTACTCTACCTTTATCAGCGTGTTATCTTGGAAACTTTCCACTCCGCTGTCTGTAACAAAGACTCTGATCTTTACATGTCAACAGAAAGGGACTGTCCTAAAATGGCAGTGGCGCAGAAACCTCCAGGGAGCGTCTTAAAATACCGCCACTCTGTCGAGTGCTGGAGAGGCACCTGCTGCTCCGAGACCCCTACTGAGGTGGCAGATCTTTCCACCTCAAAGAGGATGCTTGAATCCTAGTTGGAGTTGAGAGGAAATGTGCAAGTCCTCCTTGTTTTTCAGTTTTTTTTCCTCCTCTCATTTAACTTTGTCTCACGTGTACATTTGTTGGAAAGAGGAAATGATTATAAAGTAGAGGTCTTCGCTTTAAACTCGCGTCACCAGTCACATACTCTTTTAGCATATAGACTCAACCGTTTTAACTCTTTAAGTCAACAAGTAGTCCTTTGAAAAGCCCACTCTTTTCTTTAGCCTAGCTAATGCGGCAGTCATTATATATCAT